GAAATGAGACCTGGTAATATCAAACGTGATACAACTGAAGAAAGTCACTGGGAATAAATTTATAGAAAGAGAACAATAAGAAGAGAAAAGAAGGGCGCCAACTCAACGATAGTTGAGAATTTTAAGTAACAAATGAATCTGGAGATAATACTCTGAAATACAAAAATACTAAATAATAATCTTGTTTTGCTATGTTATATACTGGTTAGTAGAACTGAAATAAAACTCAAAATAGCAACAATAAATATATTTATAAAAAAAGTATATAGGTATATGTGTATAAACAATTTACATATAATGCAAAGCCAAATAACAGTGGTAGTGGATGGTGTACACATACAATGGGACCTAATACTCCCTCAACAAACGAATAATCACTACCACTGGCCAAATAAAATATGAAATATTAGTATACAACAAGAATAGTCCGTAGGGTAGCCAAAGTCTTAAAACAAAAAGGTAGTCATTTAAATTTAAATTAGTTCTACTAAAATGAGGTACTAATGACAATATTGTAAAGATATCAAACTTGATAAATCTCTATTACAATTATATTAAATATATATATTACATCCAAAAAATGAGTTGATCCATACTCATTATATCATATTTAAAAAAAAAACATTAAATTTATTTCCCTTTCCCAATATTAAATTGTATCATATCCAATGTATTGTATTAAAAAAAATATTATAGCAAAAAAAAGTGAGTTTGGTCAGACTCTGTATATTCTATTTAAAACCCAATAAAAACATGTAATGTATTCTCTTCTCCCCAATATTTTAAAATTAGATTATCAAAAATTAAATTATCACAAAGGTCTTTACCTTATCATATGCATATGTAAAGTTAACAGTAAATAGAAAGTAATACGTAATACAAAAGGTCAAATAGTTAAACAACTTATCTTTACAGCACTATAAGTCCATAGGAAAAACTCCTCTTGGCGCGGCTACATCAGTTAGTGGCTGTAAAGACGAATCCTGGTCACAAAAGCCACCACAACCAGTCACTGGTCTCTGGGTGACAGCAAAATCCACGGGTTTGCTAACTATGTATCTAAGGATTCTGTTACTAGTATCCTTGAGGGAATATTCTCAAGAGAATATCCTCAAGTAAAGTGAAAATAATATTTTCACGTGACGGAATCTAAAATTATTATTTAATTTAATAAATATGTAATATAAATGTAATTTAATAGGTGTAGCAGCATGGATTGACTGCACCAAAACAAAACATCAAAATATCAGGTATTAGGTTAAGTCAACATCAGAATTTCCGAAGTTAATTTCGTAGACGTGACAGGCTTGCGCCATGAAATAAACATGCGCAGAATACAGAAGGCTGTCCACATTTGTCGAATCTTTTTATATTCCACCAAAAAAAGTTAGTTAAAAGGAAACCAAAAAAACTTAATGATAAGATATGGACTAGATCGGACTTTAGTTTGACTATATAAAAAAAATGACCTTATGTTCTTTGTAAGTAAATCAAGGAAATTTTATATTTAAATTATTTCGGAACTCAAAAATAAATCTCTAAAGAAATACTAAATACAATGATAAATTTGATTATATGATAAAGAGATAATACGTATAAAATGATTTACTTACATGGAGCTCGCAGCACGCCAACTCTTCCTTTTTATATGGAACTCATAAATGAATATTGATTTTAAAATTAATTATTACTTATTATTATTAAGATATGTATTTTATTTATAAATTAATTTATTCTTCCTTGCTCCAATTCCGTCACTTTAAAGGTGAACAATTTCACCGGCTGACGTGGCTGCGTTCGTTCGAGTTCTGACCAAAACTGATCGTTCCGTTTCCGCATAAAATCGATCTTCCTTTCCAAGCGATAACAGCGCGTGGGGAAAAATGTCGATTTCAAATCGATCGTAGGCGGGTAATAAAAATTTCTTGAGGGGTTTAAATTGGACTAGTCAGTAGCGTAAACGCTACAGGGGGTTATGGTAGAATCTTCGACAAAAGGGAGAAAGCTCAAAAGAAATCCAACAGAATGGACACGGAGAGTCAACGCAGTTCGACGATATAGAGAAAAATCTTACGTGAATAGAAACCGGAAGAACATACCTGGTAAATCATTTAAAAATGTTGATTGTACATGTAGACGACTTTGTTTTCCCAATATAACACTCGAAGAACGACAACTCATTTTTGACTCATTTTACAAGTTAGCTGACAATACAAAGCAGAACATTTATCTTCGAGGACTGATTCATAACAGCTCTCTTCAAAAACGTCGCTTCAGAAATGGATCAAGAGCGCCAAGAATAAAATCAGTAAATTATTACCTAACTACTACAGACTTGTCCATTCGTGTGTGTAAGAAATTTTTTTAAAGATACCTTTTAAGTGAGTGAGGGGCGTATCTATAAACTGTCTTGTAGTACGAGGCCAGCTTCTTGCATAGACAAAAGAGGCCACAAAGAACCAACCAATAAAATAGACGTCACGAAAGTCAAGGAACACATCAAATCATTTCCTTGCTCTAAGAGCATTTATACACTTTGTGATGCTCCATATAGAAAATATTTTAATCCAGATTTAAATATTAGAAAGATGTATTAACTTTACAAAGAGAAATGTGAACAGGAAGGTTCAGAATCAGTCAAAGAAAAAATGTACTATCATGTTCTCTCTTCAAATTTTAATCTTCACTTCAAACCTCCATCTAAAGATACCTGTTAGTTATGTGATTCTTTCTATAATACCATCAGATTTGGGAATAACGACGAAGATATACATAAAGTAAAAACCGATAAAGAAATTCATCTTAGAAAGGATAAACTATCGTGAGATTCGCTCAACAAAGGTAAAAATTTAGCTGATGAAAACATTTATGTTCTTACATTCGATCTACAAAAAGCTTTACCTTTTCCCAAACTAAGCACATCTGTTGCCTATTACAAGATTAACCTATATGTTTACAATTTGTGAATTCATAGTTTTAACGACAATAAGGGTTACATGTTTATGTGGGACGAAACAGAGGGATCTCGAGGTTCATAAGAAGTTGCCTCCTGCCTGACAAAACATTTAAAAATGAATGCAAGAAATTGTAATAATATCATTTTGTATTCGGACTGCTGTACAGGCCAGAAAACCCTGAAATGAAAGCTACTTCAATTGTCCATAAATTTCTCACCTCAGGTCATAGCTACCTTCCGAATGATGCAGATTTTGGGGTTATTGAGACAAAGGCAAAGAAAAAAAAAGTTTAAAACCGTAAAATAGTTTCGTTTTTTTTAAAGAGTTTATTTATGGTCCTGAAGATTGGATTAATTTAGTTGCCACAGCTGAAAAGACTAATTTATTTCAAATAATTGAAATGAAACGTGAAGAATTTCTTTCACATTTAAGTTTATATGCACCACTGTGTAAGTGCTTTTTATTTTGGCTCTTGTTGTTTTTAATATATTTGCCTAAGTTTTTGTTTGTTCTAAAAGCTGGTGTTATTCCTTTCTTTTTATGTATTTGGCTATTTTGCCTGCATATGTAATCAAAATCATATTCTGTTTTTTAGCCAATGCACTTTTAAAACCAGGGCTTTTTTATTTTCTCATCGTATACAAATCGCTTCACTTCTCGACACTGCTGTTCAGTTTCTTTTATCTTATCTCTTGTTTGTTCGAAACGTAGTCTACACTTAAAAACGAATTCAATTTATAGAGCTTATATTAAAATTATGGTAATGCAAAAATCTTAGGTTCAGAAATTGGACTAGGTTAACCACAATATATCCAAATAACAAGGTCAGGTCTTGAGTAGATCGGTATGCAATCTGACGTTGTCGTTAACGATTGGCAGTTTATCTGTCAGCATTCCTTTACCTTGGGTTTGATACGTTTTCAATTCCGTTCAGGTCTCACAAGATGACCTCTGTCTCCAAAAATAAACGATTCCATGATTTGTCTCTAAGAACATAAAACTGTTGACTTATGGAGAATCGATATGACTTTTTGACTCGCTGGTCGCTAACCGCTTTTTGAAATTGTATGAATAACAGGGTATAACTGAATTGGAAAAAGTAAATAAGGAATTGGAATAAGGAATAATAATAAATTTGAATATTAAATTGGAATAAGGAAAAAGAGGTGTGATGCAAGCCGCACCAACAATATTACCATGTTAAAATTTAAAAGGGAAATTCTAAGTTGTTGGCTATATACCATAGTTTTAACAAAATTTACTATAAAGTAAATACTTTTTTTTTTGTAAAATTATCCAAAATGGATTTATAAATTTTTAAATTTTCAGAAAATTTTCAATCCTTTCGAATCATCATCAGTGAAAAACATCTATAAAGTAATTGACACTAGTCACATAATCTCAGATGACCCTTAAATTACATAATTAAAGTAATGAACATTGTAATTATTAAGACTCTAGGTCGATGATAAGGGATTACTTTTTTTTAAGGAAACGCGCAAATTCACGGTTTAAACAAGGACTTAATCCACTGAATGCAACAACCAATTTAACTAACGTGATGTTAGTTTGTAATAAAGAAGTGTACACAGTGTTCGTCAAAAACCTCCCTCTTCTAGGTACATATTTTCTTAGCCACAAAATTTAATAAATTGTTCAGTAGTTACGTAGTTTACGACATTTATATGGCGTAACCAACTGTGTGTTTAACTTATAATCGAGGGTAAAATTGAAGGAAAGAGAGGAATGGGACGCAAGAAAATGTCCTGGCTCCGAAACATAAGGGAATGGACGGGGATTATCGACATACAATCTCTGATACATATTGCAAGAAACAGAGAATTAATGGAAAATGTGATCGCTAACATCCATTAGTGGATTTGCATCTGAAGAAGAAGAAGAATGTGGCGTAATCATGACAGATGTTATATATGACAGACCTGATTTTGTAAAAATTTTTGCAGCGATTTTGTAGATATCTTTGGACAAGAAAATATTGTTGAAAAAATATAAAACCTACATTCTAAATTTACGTATACTTACTAAAATCTGCTGGGTTATAGTGTTTAGGGCATTCAATTCCTACTTTACTTAAATAGGATACTACTTCGGGTCCGTAACCTTGATACACGCATTGTCCGTCCGATAAAATATAAACGTTGTCAAATTGTGAAAATATTTTGGCACTTGGTGTATGTATAGAGCAAATCACAGTTCGACCACCTTCGGCGATCTTCTTCAGTAATGAAATACACTGGGAACACGACAGATCATCTAAACCCCTAAAAAAGAAATAACATGAATATATACAAATATTTATTACTATATACATATACGAAAAACAAAATTAGTGGCGTCATAGAGAGCAGTGAGTCCAAAATGGATGCTAGAAAAATATTTAGGGAATACTCTATAATCAATGGAAAAAATATTATGGAAATAGAGGCTAAGTAAAAACAGCGAAGTATAGGATGAGCATTATAACCATGGCAAACACAATATTTAAAAAAAAATACAATTGTCTGTCACGATGGTCAAGAATATTATTTATATACCTAATTGGTGGTATGTTTGTCAACAGAACCTGGTTCGGCAGAGCACCTTTCTTAACTGAACTATTTTTGGTATGTGTTTAAATTTTATAATCCTTAACTGAATAGGTTGAAGAGGGAAAAATTGTTTGTTTCAAGTTAGTCATTCAGAATTATGTCTGTATTTTTGAATTTATTGATTCAAATAATAAGAAGAATTCTGATAATAAAGACAGCTTAAGTCCTTTATTCTGAATGTGAGGAATTTGTAATTGGTAATTAAAAGAATGATTGTGGTCTAGAAATTAAAGTGCGTACGTAGAACCTTCTTTTTTCTATTAGTGAAAGCCCTTTTATGTTATGCTATACGTTTGTTAAAAGTTCTACCGGTTTGGCCAATGTCAGTTTTTGTGCAGACGCCACGTTTAAGATTCGTAATGGTGGAAATATATCGAGATGCACGCAACAGAATTAGGATGGGATGGGTAAAGTGGAAGATAGCGAGTGGTGTGATGTGTGAAAGAAATATTCCAATGAAACTGAAAGTAAAATTCTTTAAAACTGTTAGAAGAAATAGGGCAGTTAAAAGAAGGGAGCAACCAATGCGTGTGACGGCAATGAAAATGCTCATATGGATGAGTGGAGTAACAAACAAGTAAAAAATTACGAAGTAGTATATTAAAGAAAAACTACGTGTCGCATCAGTCGATGCCAAAATGGCAGAGCATAGGTAACGATGAGGGGAAGAACACAGAAGACCACAACAGCCAGTATAAAGAATTTTAAATTAACATATTCTATAAGAGCAGTCGAAGGGGAAGACCAAAGAAGACCTAGAGAGAGACTCTTAGCTAAGACATGCCGGTAAGGGGATTGACATTAATATGACCCAAGATAGAAACACGTAGCAAAAAGTAATTAGGGAAGTCGATCCCACATGGGAATAAAACCAAAGAGAACAATGATAATATATGTACATATATATATATATATATATATATATATATATATATATATATATATATATATATATAAATATATATATATATATAGATTAGATTAAGAGAGGTGGCCTTTCGGTCTATTCCACTGCGACCTTTTCAGATCTATTGTGGTCCTCTAGTCCTAGATAACATTCTCTAGCCTGACCCTCTATATAAAGTCTAGTAGCTTCGACACTGTACCTTCCATGTAGCTATTTGACGGTGGATTTTCTTCTCCTAATGCAAAAAACCGCACATTTGCCAGACTGTCACGCTGACATAAAATGTGCTCTGCTGTATCTTCTTCGAAGTGACAGAATCTGCACAGGTCATCATCTGATAATTCCATTAGCTTCAAGTGCCTATTCAGCTTACAGTGCCCTGTTAGAAGATCTACCATGGCTTTGATTGTTTTCCTGTCTTTGCTTATTAGGTTTGCCGTAAATTTTGGCGAATGTTCTGTAATGAACTGTTTCGCCTGTCTTTGTCCTGGTGAATTCCTCCACCATTCCAGAGATTTGTGAGCTACCCACTTCTTTGTAACCGTTCTTGTTGCTGACTTTGCAACGCCGCAGAAGGGTTCCGGTTCAATGAATGGCATTGGTGAGCCTTGTTTGGCCATTTCATCTGCTTTTTCATTGCCCTTATGACCCGCGTGCCCCGGTACCCAGGCTACCGTAACCTTGCTACGGTCTCGTAGTTAATTTAGGGCATACACGCAATCCCATACTAGCTTAGAATTGACCTCTACAGAATTGAGTGCCTTAAGCGCTAAGCTGAATCAATGCTGATCCTATGTCTTAAGTGGGAACCCAGTCTCGGATACTCCTATCAACAAGTATTTTCATTACCATACTTCAGATATATCACTCCGGGGTTTACAAGGATTCTGAAAAGTGTTGAAAATAGCTTTGGTAATAATCATAACAACATTAAACTTAATGTGGCTTGTAGATCAGCCCTTAATAATCTTGATTCTAAGATCAAAGATAAGACTCCCATAGATATGCTTAGTAACATTGTCTAAACCATTCCATGCCTCTCTTGCAACAATTCCTACATCGGCCAAACATCTCAATTATTGAAATCACGTATCACACTACACAAAAGTGATTCTCGACTTCACCCTGACCGATGTGCATTAGCCAAACATGTCCATTTCACTGATCATCTTATGGATTACACAAACACTACAATTCTTCTCCGTGAGAACAATAAATCTAAAAGAGAGTTTATTAAAACGTCATATATTTTCTTTAACGATTTCTCCATCAATGTTAAGAGTGACATTAAGAATCTAAGCGATATATACCACTTTTTACTTAAATCGGATACCAAGAACAATACAACATCACAGATAACTAACTTGACTGATATATCCATTAAAACTAACCTACTTTAATAATAATTTTCATTAATTAAAAAATGATAACATTCCCTTGCTTTTCTTAGATACATCTTAATAAGATATTATAATAATAATACATGAACAATATAATATAATAAAACAATTTTCAATTAAGAAAATTTAAATTAATAATATTTCGCTAAACTGAGATTTAACTTCATTCTGTTTTACCAATGAACCTTAACGACATAAAGAATCAAAAAACTACTTTGACTTGTCAGCGCATGCGTTCTGATAAAACAGAACCTCATATTTAAACTTTCAAACAATCAAAAATTTAGTTATTGCCAACAATTCAAAGAATTTCCTTTTAAATGTAATTGAGTTTTTCGATTAACCTTGGGTACATTTTTGCGTTTCAAGTTCAAAGCTACCATACATTTCCAACGGTAAAAAAAATTGTTTTTTCACATAGTAACAAAAAAACCACTATTTTGTTACTAGCTAAGTTTTTTAACATTCTAACTCTACAATTCTAAGTTACATTAAGATCACCACTGTTTTTTAATAGATAATATATGGTAGCTTATTATAATTTCTTCTCTTTCAGTCCCGAAGAAGCCAAATTAATTCTCTCTGGCTTTCTTGCAGATATTCTCAAGTTAAAGTTGATTTCATGTAATCGAATTAACTATCGTATAAGTAAAGTCGTCCCAGGAGCGCAACTCAACAATATTGGCAATATCATTTTAAAGTCGTCTACTTTAAAATGCATAATGTATGTCTGAATTGTCAATATAAATGAGTCAGATAAAATTAAATTTTAGAAGAATTGTTCACTATGTAACAAAAAACAAAATTTAATTGTGGCTTATTCCCAGTTAAATAGTAATTAGATAAAACGTGTGTGTAAAATTCAAATATTCGTGATAATAGGATCAACAGTCAATCTTAGATACAAAAATATTTTGATTAATCAGATTATTTAATAACAACACGTGTCCTGTTCTATCGGAAATTCACTAGGAAGCAAAACAATATGAATGAAATACAATGATTTCAAGGATGTAGAGTGTTTATCAATCCAGGAATACATTGTAACAAATAACGTTATTGATTACTATATATTCTGGAAATCGTAGTTGTTTATAAATAACAAATACAGATTTTAATTACTACAAGATTTTTACTACACGCAAACGTTAATTTGTTTTAGCTTTGTTTGTTTTATTAATTGTGTTCTTTAGTCTAATTATCAAAAACTATCTCGTATAGTAGTCGTACAGTGTGGAATCCATTACCTATAAACTGATATATTTGAAATATTTTAAAAAATATTTATGGTGCAAAACAGAAACTAATTAACACACACAAGACAATACACATATTTAATTTAAAAAGTTTGATTTTGAAAATGAAAATGATTTTTTTTGTTGCCAGTTAATTTTTGTGGATTAATAGTGGCGGAATAAGGCTAAAGCGGGCCCTAGGCAGCATTTTTATTCCGGGCTTATCACTATCGGATCACAGAAAAATCAATAATATACATGTACAAAAATTAAATAAATATAAATTATTAAAACAAACAATAATACTTAAACAAATATACCCTGATTTATTAGTCATATTACTGTTTTTTCTCACTTTTAATACAACCTGCAAACTCGTTAATTAGTTTGTCATAATTAATAGAGTTATTTACTCTTTCTATATGAAGTAATAATAAACTATTTAATTTTTGTTGACTTACTGTGGATCTTAAATTTTTTTTATTCTGACCATTTTACTAAGAATGATCTTTAACCGCTTGCATTGCTTATTGGAATGTTGCAATAATATTGTTTTTCTGAATAAATAAGCACATAGATACAGGCGAAATAATATTTTCTTTACTAATAAAAGTCTTAAATTGTAATAATTCATTTTTCGATTCTGCCAAATTAAAATCTTGGTCATACCATTTTAATGACTCTATTGAGAGTCTGTAACATCACTATTATGAAAAATTGTTTTGAATGTATTGTTAATAAGTTTATATCCCCAAGATATTTTTTAAAGTTACTAAGTATAGAATAACATATTTGTAACAAAAATATATTATCTTTATATTGTTCCGAAGCTATTTTATTGTGGCATTTTAAAGTAATTATTATTTAAGTGGAAATAAGCCACATTTAAAATTTAAAGTAAATTTATGGACGTTTCAATTTCCCCTTCGAAAATCGTGCTTTAATTGTGGCATATTCCCATTTAAATAATAATTATCTATATTATATTTTTTAAAATGTTGATCATGTTATCATGAAATAGTATTTGTAGGTTATGCCATTTTTATTATTAGTATATGCAATATCTTTAACTTTTTCTACTTCTTTTTCTAAATTGTTAAAATCATTTCTAAAGGTTTGTATAAAACCTAT